GTATTAGGAGATTGCAGCCTTTCAACAAGGCTCTCCTTGGGAAATGGCTTTGGAGGTTTGGGGTTGAGAGGAGTTGGCTTTGGAGGAGGGTTATTGCGATCAAATTTGGAGAGGGTATTGGAGGTTGGAGTTCTCTTGAGGTGCATGGTCCTAGAAAGGTGGGGGTGTGGTCTTTCATCCGAAAGGGGTGGGATGAGTTCAGCAAACATGTTCTTTTTCGGATTCGAGATGGGAGGAGGATCAAATTTTGGGAGGATCTTTGGTGTGGAGAGGATCCTTTTGCTCTTACTTTCCCTCGGCTCTTTAGGGTTGCTTCTCATAGACGGGCCATGGTGGTTGACTGTTATCATCTTGATAGCGGGAGACTGACTTAAGATGTTCAGTTTAGGAGGCATTTTCAGGATTGGGAGATTGAGGAGGTCACTCATTTTTTGGATTTGTTGTACCGCCAGGTGATTACAGTTGGGGACTCGGATTGTTGGCTTTAGGATCTTAACTCTCGGGGCCGTTTCAAGGTTCGGTCCTTTTTCAGGTGTCTTTCGCTTGGCTTTGGAGGTCCTTTCCCTTAGAAGTCTATTTGGCGGTCTAAGGCTCCTCTCAAGGTGACCTTTGCTTGGACCTCTATCTTTGGTAAGATTCTTACTCAGGATAATTTGAGGAGAAGGAATCAGGTGGTGGTTTATCGATGTTATTTGTGTCGAAGCAATAAGGAGACTGTTGATCATCTTCTGTTACAATGCAGCATGGCTAGGGATTGTTGGGATTTATTGCTTGGTTTGTTTGGGATCCCTTGGGTCATGTCTCGCTCCTCTAGAGGGTTGATTGAGGCTTGGAGAGGTTTCTCAGTGGGGGCTCTCATTCAGGATGCTTGGAGGGCTGCTCCTCTTTGTATTTGGTGGTGTATTTTGGCTCGAGAGAAATCGGTGCTATTTTGATAGAAAGGAGAAGCCTTCTTCTATGCTTTAGTTTTCTATTATTTCTACCTTTTTTTTGTTGGGTTTCAGGGAGAGATTATAGATCTATTGAGGAGATTGTTGTTTTTTTGGCCTCTTTGAAGGCTTGAGGCGCTTTTTGGCCTTTTGTTTGTCTTTGGGTTTCGCTCCCCTTCTGAGCGCTTTCTTTATAAAATTTTACTTATCAAAAAAAAAAAAATTATACTATTTGCCTTAATTTTATTATTAGTATCAATTTATCATAAAAACAAAAACAAAAAAGATAAATAGATTTGTAACTATCATTTTTTAAAATGATTAAAATATCATTAAAATTTTATTATTTATAATAAAACTTATTAAAACCAGTTTAAACTTTTTCACCATAGAAAAATATCTTCTTTTTCATACAATATATTGATGAAAAAATTATTATAGTAGTTTGCTTTTTTTCCTTTTCTAAACATATTTACTTTTATTTTTTTATTATTTTTTCCTTTCCTTTATTTTCTCTTGTAAAAATAAAAAAATAAAACAGAGACTTATATTTTTATTCTTTTATATTTTTATGCATTAACAATTTAAAATTGTTGTAAAGTATTAACAATTTAAACTTATCAAAAAATATATATATTGATGAAAAAGTAATAAATTACTTTAAAAAAAAAATACTTTCTACTAAAGATTTTTATTTAAACAATTATTTTTTAAAAAATTATGGTAAATTTATGCAAATTTAATGGAGAATATGTCATCAAATTAGTATGAACTTTTTTCATAATTTATTTAAAAATTAAAAATAGATTATGTGTAATTCAATAAGAAAGGGCATTATGATCATTAATGAAATATAGTATATGCATTGGGCTATTTTGCAACAAAATGTGACAGTTCAGGGGGTATTATGCACAAAATATAGTTCAGGGGGTAGTTTGCAAATTCAAACATGGTTCAAGGGGTTTTTTTTGCACTTTACCCTTATAATTACTTGTGTTATACTCCGTAATATTTAGTACTGCTCTCTCCCAAAAAAAAAATTTGCAGTATGTTCCGCACCTTCTGATATTACATTCTATTTATTTTTGTTATAATATTTTGAAGTGCATTTGCTCTCCTTTTTGACAAATATACTCATTTTTTTAAAAAAATAAAATAACATAACATAACGTTTTTCTCTCTCTCTCCTCCCTCCCTCCCTCTCTCTCCCTCTATTGCACGCCGGTCTAAATTCTTGCTGATTGATCAAAGCTCTCGCTGACTGGAGTCCTCACTGATTTGACCTAGCCACTCTAAACCAAATCAAAGCCCCATCTGTTCCAAACCTAGATATTCTAAGCCCTAGCCAATAAAAGCTCTAGACGACCGGAAGCCCCACTGTTGGCTCATCAGCCATGTCCTCTCTCTCCCTGGATTATATTATGAAACTGTTGGGACGGATTATAGAACGAAGATTAAGGAAAGAATATAGTGTGCGATAATCAATTTGATTATGCTGGGGAGGTCTACTATAGAGGCCATTTACTTATTAAGACAGTTTGTGGAAGATTATAGAAGTAAACAAAAATATCTACCCAAGGTTTTCATGGACTTAAAAAAGGCATATGATAGAGTAACAAGAGATTTAATTTGGTGGGCTATACATAGAAAACATATTCCTATAAGAAATACAGATGTTATTTAGGATATGTATAAGGACACAACAACTAGGATTCGTACTATATATGGTGAGACTAATTATTACTACTATAAAAGAAGGATTACACCAAGGCTCAACGCTAAGACCATATTTATTCACTATAGTCTTGTATGAAATAATGAAAGAGTTACAAGGAGACAATTATTAGACCAGTTACCTTGTATGGAGCAGAATGTTGTGTGTTGAAAAAAAACAAAACAACAATGCAGTCATGAGTTATGAATGCTAAGGTTTTTCCTTTTTTTTTTTTTTTTTTCTCAGTACGAATGCTAAGATGGATATTAGAAATAACTAAAATATATAAGGTTGATAACCAACACGTACGAGATAAATTAGGAGTTGCATTTGTCAGTGAGAAAATAAGAAAGTGTATGGGCATATTCAATGGAAGATGCACCAGTGAGAAAGGGAAGATTGGTTAATGTAGATTGTAAGAGACAAAGAGGTCAACCAAAACTAACGTGGAATGAAGTAATAAGAAATATGTTGCGACTTCAAATGCTCCCAAGTGCAGGATGTTGCGTAGTAATATATACTCGGTGAGTCCGAGGTCGAACCACAGGGAAAAGGGTGAACAAAAATTAATGGTGAAAGCAAAGAAAAATTATGTAAAAGGTTTTTGAAATTTGGTGGTTTGATAATAGAGAATTGATTTGAGTAAAAATAATATTTCAAAAATACTAAGGTTTCAAAGATCCACACACAACAAATCCATGGCATTTGCTAACGATTTTATTTTTTTAACTCGATTGAGATTCATGTGAAGGATGATCCCAACCGGATACTATTGAAAGTTATTTTATCAAAAATATTTCTCAAAAGATTTATTCATAAAATTGGTTGATTCTTCACTTGACAAAACTACTATTTTAATTTGTAAGGAATTGCTAAGCATTCACCGTACCTGGAGTTAATGATGAATCAAACAATTATACAGAACTGACACTTCTCTAAAATAATATATCAAACCATAAATAATCGTTTAGCAAGCACCAAAGTGTCGTGGCTTCACTCCTAGCCTTTGTAAAAGGTTTAGCAACTCATAATAATAAAAACTCTAAAACTTAAAAAGAAGAGAGAATAGAATGAGTATTCTCTTCTGGCTTCCTCTCTCTTAGATAGAGATGTTGTAGGGTTTCCCCTGGAATAAGAAAAAATGTAATTGTAGAAAAGGAAATTTGTCAAAATTCCACTTTCCAAATATGCATTGACTTGCAGCTCCGTTTTGCTCTAGTAAAAGTGTTTTTCACAAAATCTTTGTGGAATACAAATTTGACGGGCTTTAAGTCTTCTTTCCACAACTCGTGGATTTTACGTCATTCTGATATCCGAGTCAAAAGATATGGCCAAAACACTGCAACTGGTGCAGAGTTTTCCTTCCAAGTTTGTTTCCAAACGTGAGTACAGAAGTTTTCTTACTTCAATTTAAATTCCCAAATTGACTTTGATCTTCTAAAAATCTTCTAGAATTCTCCACAAATAATATCGACCTTTGGATGCAAACACTTGCTTGATCTCTTACTTCTTTTGTTTCAGTCAATTGAAGGGTGTCGCGTCACACCTTTGATTGATCGAAGATGTTACAGGCATTGATAAAAGGCTACTTGACTTTTTAACGACTGACGTTGTTCACGGGTCAATCGATCGAAGTTCTGTAATGCTTCGATCAAAACTTTAAACTTCCTACAAAGTAAATTTCCACGCATTATTGCACTATTTTAATCATGAAAATACGTAAAATGAAGAAAATGAAATTCTTATAGTTATGTGTGAAATACGGGAATAAATACAAAATAGATGCAATAATGCCTACTAAATCTATTACAATAATGCAATTTTAAGCAATTATCAAAATGATTTTAAAAAATTGAACCTAATAGGAGAAATGGCTTATGATGGAAAAGAGTGGAAAAAGAGAATCCATGTGGCTAATCCTATCTATACTGGATAAAATGAAATAATGATGATGATGATTTTTAGTATTGCTATTTTGGCCAAATCAAAGGCATTGGGCAATTTGTGTCTGATGTTTCAAGTGCATAATGGTTCAGCCACAAAACCATCCATGCTCTCCCTATTTAGTTGGAGTGCATGTTGTAGCTGTAAAAACCATCATCAATTTTTCAATAATTTATAAAATCTACATTTGGCATGTAGTTCAAATAATGTATGCTACATAACTTGGATTTCATGAAGATATTGTTTTACGAAGAGGCAAAGGAGATGACTGATCCATGTAGTGAGCCCTAAGTAGTTGGGATTAAGGCTGTTTGAGTTGAAAGTTAGGGTTAATCATTAAAATTGTACATCTCTAAATGTTCTGTATTGCTGAGTAGCAGTCCTTAAAATTCTGCTTTATTTGATTTTTACAGGCAGAGAAGCCCACATTATCAAATATCAATTTGGACATACCAGTTGGCAGCCTGGTCGCAATTGTTGGGGGTACTGGAGAAGGAAAGACATCACTTATATCATCAATGCTTGGGGAACTTCCTCCTGTTTCAGGTGCAAGTGTTATAATCAGAGGAACTGTTGCTTATGTTCCTCAAATTTCGTGGATTTTCAATGCTACTGTAAGTTTTCACGATTGATATATTCTTCATCAATACCAGTTCTCTTAGACGATGTCATATTAATTTTTTTAAGGCATTTAGTGAGTTTCAATCATTTCTTACGTTCAAGCACCATCTTTCCTTCATTTTTATCTTTTATTTTTGTCTTTACAGGTACGTGAAAATATATTATTTGGATCAAAGTTTGACACAGCAAAATATTGGAAGGCCATAGATGTTACTGCACTGCAGCATGATCTTGACTTCCTTCCTGTTAAGTGTCCTAATGTCATGTTATATAATTTGGTTTTTAACGTGTAATGTACCATCATTGTAAAATGGCATTTGGACTGATTTTTTATTGCTTATTTCAATCTATCGTAGGGCCATGATCTTACGGAGATTGGTGAAAGAGGGGTGAATATCAGCGGAGGGCAAAAGCAAAGAATTTCCATGGCTAGGGCTGTATATTCTAATTCAGATGTATACATATTTGATGACCCTCTGAGTGCTCTTGATGCCCATGTTGGTCGACAGGTAAAATTTCATGCTGAGAAATATCCTACCACTTGAACAAAAATAGTAAGTGTTAACAACCATTTAATCCAAAAGCTTAAGTTGCTAAAGAGGGTGTAACTTAAATATATAAGTCCTTCAACATGCCCCCCTCATGTGTGGCCTTCTTTTGGTCCAACATGTGTTTTTCAATTTTTTAATTAGGGTGACAGTGAGGTTTGAACTCGAGACCTTGGCTCTAATACCATGCTAACAACCATCTACTCCAAAAGCTTAAGTTGTTAGAGAGGGTGTAACTTAAATATATAAATCCTTCAACAATAAGAAAATGCAAAAGCTCTTACAAGATCACCTCAGGATTACTCTTATTACTTCTTTTAGGTGTTTTCTGCTCTGAGCTAAATATGATTTACTATAATGTACAATGGTCCTTATTATCATTTCTTTCGAGAATCTACCATATATTTGATGGGAATTTTTTTTCCTAGTATCTTTCTTCTTTCTTATTTACTCACCTTATTGCGAATGAACTCATTCTCAGACAACTGAAGAGGCTTCTCTTCTAATAATCCTTTCTTTTCTTTAATTTCTTTCTTGAGTATTACCATGTCTTGAACATACTCTTAGGTTATAACCACTGACGTGATCTGTTAAATTTTCCAAGGTGTATTGATCTTTACACTTTTCGTGTTTATCTAATCTATAATATCAATTTTTTCCAGGTCTTTAACAACTGTATCAAGGAAGAGTTGCGAGGGAAAACCAGAGTTCTTGTTACAAACCAACTACATTTTCTTCATCAGGTGGATAGAATTATCCTGGTATCTGAAGGAATGGTGAAAGAAGAGGGAACCTTCGAGGAGCTTTCTAAAAGTGGCATGCTATTCCAGAAGCTAGTGGAGAATGTGGGGAAAATGGAAGAAAATGTAAATGAAAAAGAAGATGGCATAAAGATTGATCATAAGTCCTCAAAACCTGCTGCTAATGGAGTTCTCAATGAGTTGCCAAAAAATGAAATCTCCACAAAAAAAAGAAAAGAAGGTAAATCTGTTCTTATCAAACAGGAAGAACGGGAAACAGGTGTCATCAGTTGGAATGTCTTCTCAAGGTAATATGGCATATAATAAAATTTTATGGTTCTATTTTAAATTCTTCTGTCATTGATTGATTCTCTGGTACATTCTAAAAAAAAAAAAAAATCTATACAGAAATTAATATGAATTTTTGGCACCTTGCAATGAAGGACATTATTGCAAAGTTACCATGAAAATAGTCTTGCTTTCTATTTCAGAATATTGACTGTAAAACATGTTCATAGAATAAGTATAGCTCAGTGATCATATATGATTCTATTCATACATAGGATGGCTAGTGGTGCTCTGTGACATCTGGTGTGACATACTATTCATTGGTGTATTCATGTTGTTTCTTTTCTAGGTATAAAGATGCTCTGGGAGGCCTATGGGTTGTCATGATATTATTTATGTGCTATACTTTAACTGAAGTTCTTCGTGTGTTAAGTAGCACATGGTTAAGTATTTGGACGAAACAAAGCAGTTCAAAGAGTTATGGACCTGGTTTTTATAACCTGATTTATGCACTTCTGGCATCTGGTCAGGTATGTTGCCACTTCGTTTTCAATTTTCATGGAGTTATTCCTGAGCCTCACACAGTTTCTTGCCCTAATCTTTATTTTCTTTTCTTTGACTGAAATAAGTGGGATATTTTTTTTAATTCCATAATTTGAAGTTTTTAAATTATATAGGAGAATATGGTATTTTTGATAGGTAAGATAAATCCAGTTGAAAAGGAGATTATACAAGTACCACAAGAATTGTACAACTAAGCCCCTATACTGGAAGAAATGTTAGTTGAAATAAACTTGTTTAAAAACCTTTTTTACACTTTCCAGTTGTTCAAGGACTTTAGGACGAAAAGAGGATGTTTCTGTTGTTACATTGTTTTGAGGCTTACTTCACATATGCTGTATGTAGGTGTTGGTGACATTGGCAAACTCCTTTTGGTTGATCACATCAAGTCTTTATGCTGCTAAAAGATTGCATGATGCCACGCTACACTCTATTCTCAGAGCTCCAATGGCTTTCTTCCATACCAATCCAATTGGACGAATAATCAACAGGTTTTCAAGGGATCTGGGTGACATAGATCGCAATGTTGCTAATTTTGTTAATATGTTTCTAGAAAAAATGTGGCAGCTCCTTTCAACTTTTGTGCTGATAGGCATTGTGAGCACTATATCGCTCTGGGCCATAATGCCTCTTCTGATCTTGTTTTATGCAGCCTATTTATATTATCAGGTTGGTTACCTTCTTTTTTTTTTTTTTTCCCTTCTTTTTCTTTTTCTTTTGTGTCTGTTGCTTTTTTACATTTCATAAATTGTCACACAATTACTTATTTACACATATTTTCCCCTGAATTGCAAATGTGATACTGTGATAATAAGACTGAATTGTTGTCTTTAAAAAGAAAATTGCTTTGCGCCACACAATTGCAGAAAACCCTAGGTAACTGAACTGAAATTGCTGATGACCCCCAAGATTACATTTTGGATTGCAGATATAGAAGATAAGGAATCCTGACTTTGGTGTTTGTATGGATGACATGATCCTGATCCCACATATCACAGAACCAATTCCCAAAGGGTCCTGGTCTTATACCCTGCTAAGATTCATTGCTTCGGGTGATTGATTAAAAATTGGTTCTTTGATGATTAGATTCGGACTATAGTGGTACAATCAGTACCAAAAATATCTTTTATTTTTAGTTTCTCCTTTCACCCATATTCAGAATTTCCTTTGTGGGATGTAAGTTGTGCAACCTGGGAATGCATGTGAAGATGCATTCCTAAGTCTAGTACTTCTAATAATTGAAACCAACTCTAGACCTGAGTTCAAGTTTCTAGGAGATCAAACACCATCACCATTGTGAGGGGATGGTGTTGTGTCTTAGGTTCTATTCTCACAGCGAATCTAGAATAACTGAATAAGCAAGAGAAAAGAAAAGGTTTAAGAACCATAAAATATATTTTTAACTGTAGTCTTCATCTAGCTGCTGTTCAAGTGCATTTGTGTATGTTGAACATTTCACACAAGCAAGTAAAGCTTGTTTCATTTACTATCAAATGGTAAATTCATCAAACACGTCTTAATTCTCATATTAATCATTTCACATCTCTGGATTACTGAGCACTTGACTACTGACAAAATAATCTGTTTCACAGACCACAGCTCGTGAAGTAAAACGCTTGGATTCCATTACCAGATCCCCTGTTTATGCGCAATTTAGCGAAGCATTAAATGGTTTGTCAACCATTCGTGCATACAAAGCATATGATCGGATGGCCAGCATTAATGGGAAATCTATGGATAATAACATCAGATTCACACTAGTTAACATAAGTTCAAACCGCTGGCTCACCATAAGGCTGGAAACATTAGGAGGCATCATGATTTGGTTGACTGCAACCTTTGCTGTCATGCAGAATGGAACAGCAGAAAACCAGGTGGCATTTGCATCTACAATGGGTCTTCTTCTTAGTTACTCTTTGAACATCACAAATCTGCTGGGTAATGTTCTGAGACAAGCAAGTAGAGCCGAAAATAGTCTAAATGCAGTTGAGCGTGTTGCTACATATATAAATTTGCCATCTGAGGCTCCAGCTATCATTGAAAGTAACCGTCCCCCACCTGGATGGCCTTCATCAGGAACTATCAAATTTGAAGATGTCTTCCTGCGTTACAGACCTGGACTTCCTCCTGTCTTGCATGGATTGTCTTTCACTATCTCTCCAAGTGAGAAGGTAGGCATAGTTGGAAGGACCGGTGCAGGGAAATCTAGCGTGCTCAATGCTTTATTTAGGATTGTTGAACTTGAAAGAGGAAGAATCTTAATTGATGATTATGACATTGCAAAGATTGGACTGATGGATCTACGTAAAGTTCTGAGTATCATACCACAATCACCAGTTCTTTTCTCTGGTATGCATCCTTCATAACTAGTTTTTTTGTTAGCGGAAGTGCTGAATGTACTTTACATAATAATAATAATAATAATACACTTAGGGAGACTTGAACCCTCCATCTTTCACTTTGAAAGGAGAGGAGATACCACCAGGCCACAGGCCTTGGTGGTGCACTTTACATAACTTGGTAAACTTTTTTTTTTCTTCTTTTTTTTTATTTTATTTATTTAACAACATGATTTGCTTTCCTTTTTCTGTTATTATTAAAAGAAAAACATCAACATAAAAGTTGTCTATCTAGTATTTGGCCTCAAGGTTGGGCAAGTTGGTCCCTTTTTCTTTTTCGTTTCTCCATGAAAATAATATCTCTCCTGTTTAAGTTTCAGAAATATTGAAATCTTTGTTTCTTTTACAATTGCCTGTTCGTAATATATAGTTGTAGAATCTTGAGCATTGAGATATTTGAAAAATCATCTGATTTTTTATTTTCTCAGTACAACTATGACACTCTAATCATACTTGACGGGTGTTGTTTGGGAGGGGAGGATTGGGGGGAAGGGATAAGTGTGCGTCTTTTGTCCTTTGGGATCTATTTGCTACAGTTTCCAAATACTTTGTTTGCATCATGAGTTTACATATACTTGATCTATAAAACTCAGCCTATGCATGTCCATTATCTCATTTTTATAGAACATAGAAGGACTAGATTAGGTAGCTAATAGTCATATAAAACCTTTGTTAGACTTATGAACATGAATCTTGAGAATATTCGAATAAAATATTAGGGCGTTCTCCTTAAACAACACGTTCGATCAACTCCTTGGAGCTTTGGAAATTGGACAAAGGGGGCAGTTCCGTGCTATTTTCGTTGACACTAATAAAGTATCTGGTCGAAGATTGTAGGCTTCGAATATCGAGTCAAAATATATTTAATAAAGCATGTGTACAAGAAACTAAGTAGTAGGAATAATAATAATAATAATAATAATACACTTTGGGAGACTTGAACCTTCCATCTTTCACTTTGAAAGGAGAGGAGATACCACCAGGCCACAGGCCTTAGTGGTGTACTTTACATAACTTGGTAAACTTTTTTTTTTTTCTTCTTCTATTTTTTATTTTATTTTTTAAAACATGATTTGCTTTCCTTTTTCTGTTATTATTAAAAGAAAAATATCAACATAAAAGTTGTCTATCTAGTATTTGGCCTCAAGGTAGGGCAAGTTGATGGCTTGGTCCCTTTTTCTTTTTCGTTTCTCCATGAAAATAATCTCTCTCCTGTTTAAGTTTCAGAAATATTGAAATCTCTGTTTCTTTTACAATTGCCTGTTCGTATTATATAGTTGTAGAAGCTTGAGCATTGAGATATTTGAAAAATCATCTGATTTTTTATTTTCTCAGTACAACTATGACACTCTAATCATACTTGACGGGCGTTGTTTGTGTGTTTGTTTGTGGTGGTGGTGGTGGTGTGGGGAAGGGGAAGGGATAAGGGTGCGTCTTTTGTCCTTTGGGATCTATTTGCTACAGTTTCCAAATACTTTGTTTGCATCATGAGTTTACATATACTTGATCAGTAAAACTCAGCCTATGCATGTCCATTATCTCATTTTTATAAAACATAGAAGGACTGGATTAGGTAGCTAATAGTCATATAAAACCTTTTTTAGACTTGTGAACATGAATCTTGAGAATATTCGAATAAATATTTGGGCGTTCTCCTTAAACAACGCGTTCGATCAACTCCTTGGTGCTTTGGAAATTGGACAAGGGGGGCAGTCCCGTGCTATTTTCGTTGACCACTAATAAAGTATCCGGTCGAAGATTGTAGGCTTAGAATATCGAGTCAAAATATAGTTAATAAAGCATGCGTACAAGAAACTAAGTAGTAGGTCAAAGAGTTGGGAAAATCGACAAGACAAGATATAAACTATATTGTACCAGAAAAAAAAGACATAACAGTAGAGTTGGGATACCAATTGATAAGAATTTAAAATAAAAAGTTGTAACTGTTACTGCAAAGGGATAGGATAATATTAATTAAAATTGATTTAGAAGAACGTATAGCTAATATAATTAGTGCTTATGCAACCCAATTCAGATTAGGCAAACAAATTAAAACAAATTCTGGAAACATATGAATGAATTAATTCAAGGACCTAGGATTTTTTTTTTCATTTATTTATTTTCTTATAGAAAGAGATTGGAGGTAATGTTTCTTACAGAATTAAAGCAAGATGGAATAGATGGAGTGATTCTTGGATCCTGTATGATAAATATTGTTAGAGAGTTTAATGTCTTTGTATTTTTCATACTTGTAAAGGGTAGTCTTGTCTTTACCTTCTTTTTAGTTAGGGCATATTCATTGTGTGTATATCTATATATACACACTATAATAAAGAATACAAGATATCATATTTCCTTTCCTCTGCCATTGTAACTGTATTTTCAAATATATACCTCTAAAATTAACCAACAGATTCTGTTAAATGGATATTGGATTAATCATATGCTTTATGAGCCAGAATGTTGATTAAGTGCGCCAAATTTTCCCTTAGATTAAAATCATTATTTTACGAGTAGAAGTCCTCATGAAATCAGGTGCAAGTTTTTCTACTGCTCTGTCTGTTGAATGGCAGTGTCTTTGTCTTTCAGCTTGTAATTGAGACTTTATTTAAACAAGTGATAGCTTATTTTCCTCTTTATTCAAATATAACACCGGTATATCAAAAAGAAACAGTTAATGGGTATACTGTTCTTCCTTCTGTATCAAATTTTCTAATGAACGATAACACAAAAATTATGCTACATGCAGAGAAAACTGTGCTTTCTTCTCTGTCTGATATTTCTAATGAAACAAACAAAGTTTAAGATGGTTTACCTCAATGACTGGAGATTTTGTGGAAGTCCAATCTTGAAATTTTTGGACAACGAGAGGTGCTTGTTTGCTTTATTAAATTGACTACCTAGGAGTTTCAATTTTTGTTTCTATTTCCTGGATACAGCTATATAGCTATGCATCTGCACCTGCATACAAAAAGTTCTTGGCAACTCTTTGCAACGGTATTTTCAATAGAAATGAAAGGGTTGTTATTTTTTTGCACAGAATGTTATGAAAGAACCTACCAATAGTAAACCCCGTTAACCTAATGGTCATTCTTGTTTTCTCTAGGAACTGTCCGTTTTAATCTTGATCCTTTCACTGAACACAATGATGCTGACCTTTGGGAGGCTTTAGAGCGGGCACATCTAAAGGAAGTCATCAGGAGGAGTGCTCTTGGTCTGGATGCTGAGGTATAAACTCAATTCTCTTCACAATTTTTTCTGCAACTAGGTTGCTGCGGCTAATTTTTGGAAAGAAAATGAATTTCAGGATAAATTGCATATCCCGTGAAGATTCCACCTGCCAATTGATGATATTATCTTTCTCTTTCAAGATTGTTGCAAATGTTTTCAACATTCAGGACTTGGGAAAAGAAATTTACTGTTTTTTCATAGAACTGATTGATGCTATTTTCAAGTAACGAACATCCAAATTGTGTTTGTGGCCCACTGATTGCATCCTGAGTAACTGTGGCCGCAACAGAACTTTGATTGGTTGACATGATTGATTTGCACTATGTGGTTAAATTACAATCAAGTCAACTTAAGACTTGGAAGAATGTGAGTGACATTATTACAGGAAAAGTATGCATTCTGGGTCATGATTTGGTAAACATACATGGCCATACGATTGTGAGATAGAATAGTAAATGAAACATGGGATCATCCCGATAATTTATTGATATGCTTTTTGCAATAACCATAAAGAAACTGTTACTTTTGACCGAAAACCAGTTAGATATTTGTTTTTCTTTTGTAATTTTATTGAAGAAGCTTCTTCGTCAACTGCTCAAGCATTGATTCTATTAGCTTAACTCCAATAGATTTTAAAAGAGCTACTACTGTAATATTTGCATCACTTCTATTGAAGTTGTCAAAACTGTTGACAATTAAAATCAGGTCAATTATTGATCCATATCATATTATGAATTACATGTCTTCTTTCAGGATAAAGTTAATTATGTTTATCAATTAAATGGAACTTCATGTACATAATATGTCCTTGACTCGTTATCAAATACAGTTTGTCAATAAAAGGAAAGAAATTCCATTATCTTAAGTGAAATTAAAAATTTGTTTGTGCTGTGTCAAGGTTTGCGAGGGAGGGGAGAATTTCAGTGTTGGACAGAGGCAACTATTAAGTCTTGCTCGGGCATTATTACGGAGGTCGAAAATTCTTGTTCTTGATGAAGCAACTGCATCTGTTGACATTAGAACTGATGCTCTTATACAGAAAACTATTCGAGAAGAATTCAAATCATGCACAATGCTCATCATTGCTCACCGACTAAATACTATTATCGATAGTGACCGGATCCTCGTGCTTGATGCTGGTCGGGTATGACCTCAATTTTAGTTATTCTTGCTGATCATTTTCATTTCCCACCTGGTGCTTAAGAAAGTTATCTAGGTTTGGTGGATTAGACAATCACATGCCCCAAAATGTTAAGCTGTTAAGAGAGGGTGTGACTTGGTGTTTATTTCTTCAACACACCCTTCATGTGTGGCAAGGTGCATCAAACTCATGCATGTATTGAAACTGTTAAGTAAGCAATAATTAGACCCTAGGACCTTTCCTGCTTTGCTAGCATTTTCACCAAGCTTAAGCATTCTCAGAGGATGTAGCTTTGAGTCTTTGTGTCGTCATTATGGTGAACCAAAAGCCTATAACATTATGTACAAGTTCTATAACTCATATACTGTCATCAGTTTTGCGCTGACTTAAAATTAATTATGAATCAGTATATGAGTTCCAATTTAGTTTTTGTTAACGTGTTGGAAAAAAACTCATAATTTTTTCCCAGGTTACAGAGCATGATACCCCCGAGCAACTACTGTTAAATGAAATAAGTGACTTCTCTAAGATGGTTCAAAGCACTGGGGCTGCAAATGCTCAGTACTTGCGCAGCTTAGCACTAGGAGGGGAAGGAAAGAACAAGTCAAACAGAGAAGGGACCATACTGCTGGATGGACAGAGGAGATGGATGGCCACTTCTCATTGGGCTGCTGCTGCCCAGTTTGCCCTAGGTGTTAACCTCACTTCTTCTTGGAATGATCTTCAACCTCCGGAAATTGAAGATGAGAACAATATCCTCAAGAAAACAAAGAATGCGGTAGTGACACTGCAGGGAGTTTTGGAGGGCAAGCATGATGAAGTCATAATAGAGACACTAGATCAGTACCAGGTTTCTACAGAGAGATGGTGGTCAGCTCTCCACAAAGTGATTGAAGGTACAGGCTATAATATTCTTGCATCCACTCGCATTCATCTGCCTAATCCTACACATCCATTTTCTTTAGTAGCGACTGATTTGGTACATATCTTTCTTTATTTAAGTAGAGTAATCTATTGTGCTTCCCCAGATGATGCACTCTTGAACCATAATATTTGCTGGATTGCAAGTTAATCAAGTCACTGATGTAGAAGAATATAATCCCCATTTTTATAAATTGAAATGTAAAATAAACAAAACCTGTGGAACTTGCTTCATGTTCACATGATCTTCTTTGATAACGTTGTCTAATTTAGTTGATTAATTGCAGTCATTCAAATACCTGTTTCTGCACTTACTTCAGGCACTCCTAATTTTAAATAAATGGAGGCCCCAGGCAGGTGCAAAAACAATATAGTTTTCATACAAATATGTGGTGGTATTTTCTTCCCCACTTTTCAACTAAGACAATCTGCTTGTTTATCAAAAATAAAGTTCCCAAAATTAGAAGCATCGTCTTTTAAGCTTTAGTGTGTCGTGTGCGTGTGTGTGTTTTGGATAAGCAAATTAAGCTTTTAGTTCTTTGGTATGTTAGTTCATATTATCTTCGCAAATGCACAATGGTTTGAGAGAATGATAAATATTTTATATCTATATGTTTTCTGTATAGAAAAGGCATACGGGTAGTTTTTCTTTTTTCTATCTTCTGCTGTTTCTGATCCACAATTGTCCTTTTCATTTCAGGTCTTGCTGCGATGAGCACTTTGACTCACAGTGGGCCTCCACAACTAGACAACGATTTTGAAGATAGATTAGTTGATTGGGATGACAATGTTGAAGTGTAGAAAGCAGTATTACTTCGATTTCACAAGCATTTAAACAGTGGGAATTGCTGATAACAAAAGTTCATGTAGTATTTTTTTAAAAAACCAACCTTGATAATGAATAAAATGTCCCACGAAATTAAAGGTCATATCTTCTCTTGTCAACTAAGCTGAAGACAAGAGAAGATATGGTTTATCTTTCTTTAAATCTTGATTTCTTTTATATTAATTTTAAGAATTAATTTCTTGAGAGTTCCATTATGAATTTTCATATACTCCGTATGTTTTTGTTTTTATAAATTTTATATATAGGATTCAGTCAGAGTCTTGGGCCCCTAGTATGTTGGGCTTGGAAGAGCTTAAATTAAGTTGGGGAGGGGAGCCGAGGGGATAAAAAAAAGAAACCCATACGAGGTCAAGATGGGGTTCAGGGTTGTAACTTGGGCGGGTTGAAGATACAATTTGAGTCCAACATATGAAATGTTCAACTCTAATTTAACCCTAACCTGACCTTCATTCTTAACTATTTAACTATTTTTTAAACACGGATATGTAATTTGGACTGTTTTTTCGGGTTAGAAAATCGGGTTAATTTGGGTGACCCATATGAACAATCTCCACCCACACTAAAAAAAATAATGTGATCTTTCAGATTAAATTACTTCAAAACACAAAATTGTAAAAAAATATTGCAAATTTTTAAAAAATAATTCTCTAAAGTGTTAACATACAATAAATTAAGATTTAAACAAAGAAAGTTGAGAAGAAAAAATTTGATAGTAATTTGAATATTATATATAATGTATTTAAAATAAATATATATAAACAATATTAGAATTCGGGTTTGGATTATTAGCCATCTCAATCTAAGTTCAACCCTAATTAAGTTTGGATTACAAATTTTCAATTCAAGTCCAATCCTAATTATAAAAAAAAAAAATTGAGTTGGACTTGAATTGACCAAAATCAAGTTGTACCACCACCAACCCCCGACTTTTTTCTAAATACCTATTGTGTTGCCATTTTTAAATTTAACCCGACTATAGACTCATTTTCAACATGATTTAATCCAACCCAAGCTGAATATGTATTTAAAAAATTAAATATGAATTAGGCCCAAGTTAAGGAGCTTGGGTTGAAAATTTAAATATTAGTTTAACTTCGTTAACTTGCTCAACTCACTAAGACACATCCCTTGGCCTCAAAGTTTAGGATTTTTCGGATTAATTTTTTGGGAACAAAAAATTGTTCTCAAAGAACTAAAAACACAAAAACTAATTACAAAATTTTTATTTGGTATCAATTACATAAATTATATTTTTTTATAGTTTTTTTTCAATTCAATTTTTTTTTTTTTTTTTTGCTATCAATTACATAAATTATATTGTTTTTAGATATATATTTTTTCAATTCAAGACCATACAACTATATTTTTTAATAACTCGGTCGATTTTTATATTAGTCTTTTATTTTTCCCTTCATTTGACATTACTGTTAATAAGAATTATGACACTCTTAATAGGAAAGTTATAAAAGTTCAATGAATTTTGTTAGCAGTTGTCAATTAATTAATCGTATTCAACATTAATTATTGAAGTGACAAAAAAATTTATTATCAATTGTAGCATCACTTTCTCTTTGTAATATAAAGGGCAAGTTACACTTACATTCCAAGTTTGCAATGAAAATAAGTAGATACTACTTAAGGAGGGTGTGATTCAATTGTCTAAAATTGTAAATTTGAACAAAAACATCCCTAATCATGATAAGAGTATTTAATTATACTTTGATATCTAAATTGATCCATTTAAATCATTAAAGTATAATGTTAACCTTTATAAGTCATTTTATTTAACCAAAATAACCCTTAGCAAATAAATAAATAAACTCCACACACGAGTGGAGTCAAGAAATTTTAATTTGGAGGAACTAGTAAAGTAAACGCACGCACGCACGCACGAGTGAAGTCAAGAAATTTTAATTTGGAGGAACTAGTAATGTAAAAATTAAAATTTAAAATAATATAAAATCATTTTACAAAAATTGCTTTTGGCAGACAATGAGCATAAAACTCATATAAAAAAGGTCTTATTTAAAGAATAATAATATATAATTATTTGAAAAATTGGCTTCTATGTTACAGTGTAATAAACTCTTTTCTCATTATTTGGTATCAATTACATGAATTATATTTTTTCATTATTTTTTTCAGTTCAAGATTGTACAACTATGTGCTTCACTAACTCAGTCCATTTGACACTATTTATAGGAAAGTTATTAAAGTTTGGATGAATTTTGTTAGTATTATCAATTGATTAACAATATTCAATATATATATATATATATATTGTTAGTGACAAGAAACTTAAATACTCATTCATATATTTATTTTGTTTCTTGAAAACAAGAATTCCCACTTTAGAAGATAGACAAAATATCACTAAATCTTTAACATTCAACATTAATTATTGAGGTAATACAAAAAAAAAAATTATCAATACACTCCAAACTCTTATTTAAGAAAGAGAAGTGACACAACAGATTTGATCATCAATTGTAGCATCACTTTCTCTTTTTAATATAAAATTTGAGTACGGACAAGGGACCCCTCGGTTTTTCAATTTTCAGAAAAGAAAAATTAAAATTAAAAAGGGTACCGGAAAAAACAGTTTTTTTTCACGCTGCTAAATGGCGCGTGGACTATTACACGTAGAATTCGGTTAAACTCGATTTTCCTCTTCCTACTCCATTCAAAGACGCCTCTTTCCGTCTCTTTCTTTCGCGTTCAAATGCGTTTCTCTCTCTAAGGACCTCTTCTCTCTCTTCCTGTCGAAGCGTCTTCGTCTTTCTGCTTCATTGTCTTTATTTATCTCTGTGTCTCTCTTTCTCTCTCTATACGTATACATATTATATATATATATATATAGTTCCAATTTGGTTGTGGAGTTCTGAGATAGATCTTTCCATTTTCGGTAACTGTATTGAATTGGATCTCTCTGTATCTATATATATAAATTTGTGTAGATCCGAATAAGAATGGACAAGGCGGAAATTGAGGGCTCCGAAGACAATGCAGTTCCGTCAAGGAAAGGCCGAGGTCGCAAGTACAGCCCAGTTGTTGCACACGACAACGATCGTGCTGTTCTCGAGATGTCTTCTTTGGATCCTGAATCTTCCTCTGCACCATTTCCCCCCAATGTGTAAGCTTCCCATTCTCTGTTTCAAAATTTTTTTGGTTCAAATTTTGTAGATTTAATTTTATGTGATTTTCTTTACTTGATAAATAAATGTGTTTAATTTGGATGGCTAAGCTCCTTAATTTACACAAGCACTATCTCTTTCTCTTCTATCCATATATATGTGTGTGAGCAAAAGTATGAACATAGGGATATATATATATATACACACAAGTAGTACAGTATGAATAAATTCTTGACGTTGGCTAGTTGGAGATTTATACTATTGTTATTTATGGTTTTAATATGTATGAAAGAGTGAAATGTAGCTTCTCTTGAATCGGGTGTTGGTTTTTTATGCCACTTGATCAATGATTTTGTACTTGGTCACCTGTTTGTTTTGAGTTAACTAAAGAAGACAGAAATGCTGTAGAAAGTTAATTGCTTTGACCTATGAGGAATTAGAAAACAGAAAAAAATTTAGGGTAGAAAAACAGAAAATACAAAGAAAGATAAATAAGCTGTCAACATAAGTGGAGAGATGAGAGATATAAGTTCTTAAAACAGGAAATATAATATACGAGAACCTGCCAAATGGGCTCAAAATATTTGACTAGACATAATCTATGTCTCCCTCTGATTCTGGATTAGAGATACTATTATGTTTTAGTTCTGAGTTTAGTTGGTGGAATTTGTTCAGAAATGAATAAAAGTACCAACGAGATGGAAAAAAATAATTTCCTATCAATTCAAAATTTATGGAAGAATGCAATTTATGTGGTGCTTTAGTGTCAAAAAACAACAAAATACTTTCCAATTGGCATTTAAAGAAACTATGGCACTTGTTTTTACTATATAATTTACATATGGTTAAGTGCCCGTTCGGATATACTTTTGGAGACATGTATATCTTATCTTAAAATAAATACATAAAGCAGAATTCCTGGAGATAAACATGCTTCTAGGGACCCTAAATTATTTGATGCATAATTGGATACGGGAATTTGTGCCATATGCATTGTTTTGTAATTTGGTGTGCTGTCCACTTTTATGCATTTATTTTGCAGCTTTATTACCATGTATTGTACTCCTGATAAATGCATTCATATTACACATTCATGTGCCTTCCTGTCTTAATGGAGTGGCTAGACATCCTCTCTTTCTTGAACCGAGTGGGTGATTCCTGTTGAAGTCATAGCATTAGCATCCAGAAGCCTTAGATAGAAGAGAGAATATAGTTGTGCTTATGCCTACAACATTTTCCCTAATAGAAATATGCATCTAATGATACAATATAAATGACATTAAGAAAATCTATATATTTATTTTGTTCATTCTAGGCTTTCTTGTTTGCTTTTGTTTTTCTCTATTGATTTATATTCTGTGACAGGAAAATTAAAGTGGGCACACAGCCGAAAATGTCTTCTGATGCAAGAGAAGGGTCATTGCCTACTCATGGAGTCAATGGTTCCCAGAGGGAGTCTAAACTGGAATTGTTTGGTTTTGATTCTCTCGTTAATATTTTAGGCCTTAAGAGGTACATGATTCATTTCTATTTCTTATGATTCCTTTTCCCTCACTCACAATTTTTTTTTAAAATTTCCTTTCTTAAGCGAGTCCTTTATTTGCTTAGATCTTTTAATAAAACTTTATTTGGGGAGGGGGCTGTTGTTATGGACTTATTACGTATTTAATACGCTTCTGTAGAATTTACTTATGCCAAAATCATTTCACTACTGATTGTCTGAATCATGAAAGTGTCATTCTGAGGCTTGCTATTCCAGTATGACAGGGGAACAAATTCCAGCACCTTCTAGTCCCAGAGATGGTGAGGATGTTTCTATCACTCTTGAGCGTCCGAAGGTACTTCATATTTCTTAAGCATGTTACCATATCTTTCATGCACCTTTCCTCCCTTTCATGGAACAATATTACTTTGAAAGTTCGAATAGAAACAATTTCAGGATATTCTCGTGATTGATATGCAGCTACTAGTATTATTATTTTTATTCTTCTGTGGCTTTTATTATTATCTTCTTGATAAGAACTGCTTTTGTAATGTTTGAAAATTTGGACAAAGTAGGAGAAAAGAAGAATAGAGAATGCAAAGGAAACAAATGCAGTATCAAAGAGCAAGGGGCACGTGAAAAATTGATCTGCTGTTGTTTTATAAAACATACTTTGAATGAAATGACCAAACTACTACATTTTTGTTACCTAAAGAACTCTTATAAAGTTGGTGAGTTCAGTAAATTTACTCAGAAAACAAACTTGGTGGGTTTAATTATATACTTAAGTGTATTGATAAGTCTGGGTGGAAATCATATATCTTTCTTTTTTTATTAATTTCAGAAAAACTAATTTAAACTTGAGGCTTGGGAAAAATACCCATACGTTGGTACTTGGTAGCTTCATTTCACATTATAATGGGTAGAAACCTTGAGAACACAACAATCTACCATAATATGTTTCATCTTCTTATGAAATACCTAGTTGTTAAATGTGTGTGTTGTCACTTGGTAAGTAAAACCATAGGACTAGTTGATAATCTTGTTAGGTGCTAAAAAATGAATTTTTTTAGTGTTTTTTCCAGTGAGTTTGATAATTAACAAAGTAGCTACACTCTTAAAAGGTGAAATTCACCTTTAAAATGTCTAATTTGTAAGTTACAAAGACCTGACTTTTCCAAATGCTGAATTCAGTCAGTTAAATATAAAGTTCTAATCTAAGTTTTAAATTACAAACACCTGAATTTTCCCTTAGTGCTGAACTCAGTCAGTTTAATATAAAGTTCGAAATTCACAAATTTACCCACAAGTTTTCAGTTTTGAAAATTCATTTGCCTAAAGTTTTCAGCACTATCAAAGTTTAGCACTAAAATCTTTGTTAAAACTTTAGTTTTATTAAAAAGCACCCAAAGTTTAAAGGATTATCAACCAAGTTTGTAAAATCCATTTTGCTGGCATTTTATTTATGTGTTCCTTTCAATTTATTATTTATTTATTTTTACCTTGGCAAGAAACACACTCACATACCCCTTGCCCCTTTTGGGACTTGAACCGTCGATCTTCTACTTTGGAAGATGAGGAAGTACCACTAGGCTACATCCTTTGCTTTCTTATTAAAATGGATGATTGGTGGATTTGTCATTCTCATCTGGTATTAGATTTCATAGTAATCATTGTATTCACTAACTATTTGCTATATTTTCTAACTTTTCACTTCTTCCTAGTTTTCACCCAAAAATGAGCATTTTAATTCAGGATTAGGGGATGAAGACAAAATTCTGTGGAAGTAATTATTTGAACTATAGTACCTTAAGTTTAGCTTTTAATTCTTTTTAATCATTGAAAATGGTTAAGTTGGGTTTTGTAGTCTTTTTAAATAAAGCTCAATTGTTACGTGCCCTGCTGGAATCCCCCCCTCCCCCCTCTTTTATGACTTAGTATTTGGGGCATTGAAGGGATGCAAATCTACTTGTTTTGTAAGCATATGCTTAAAAGGTGTTATTTATTTTCTATTTGGACATAGTATTACAGTTACTCTAGTGATATCTTAACAAAATGGTAGAGATGCAGGTGCAGAGTTTAGGTCTCAATAGGGACAAGGGTTTGTATGTGCTATTTATAATATATAATATTAAAATAAAATTTTACCTACATTGTTTGGCTAAAACTTTGATGCTGTTTGGATTTGAATATTGAAACCAACCATAGCATTTTGTGGTATCAAATCTTTTCTCCTATCATAATTTGCTGTTCAATGTGTGGCAGTTAGATGATTTTTCTTTCTTTATTTATCTTAATGTTTCTGATGTGCATTAATCATGCAGAATACTGGTGTCAAACTGGGGACAATGATGGGAGTGTTTGTGCCATGTTTGCAGAACATTTTGGGGATCATCTACTATATCCGATTTACTTGGTAAATATCATACTGCCTGATATTTATGTTAGCTGCTAGTGGAGTTAAATGCAAATGAACCTTAATATTGCCTGAATATGTATATTCTCAATTGGTGGCTTATCAGATTTGAGGCATTGGATCAGTATTGCTGTAATATGCATAGATTTTTTATTTGAATTTTCATATATTTCTGAATTCACAGTATCATTACATGTACAAAATATTTTGTATATAAAAAGGACCATTACCTAGTGTGGACTATGTTTATTGAAGGTTCTGGGAGGGCTAGATTATATAAAAACCTAACTTTTGGCATTAATGGCACAAAGCGGTTGCTCTTAGGATTCAAAACTGCATTTTCTTACTTACAGCCCGAGCCTTTATCATAGTACCAAACACTGGTGCTTGCAAAATAATTTTACATATTGCATGATTTTTTTTTTTTTTTTTTTTTTTTTTTCATGTTGAATGATATTCAGTCGGGGTCATTAAGAACATTAATATGTGGGATTATGAGGTTATGGGTACAGGATACCGTTGTGTTCGACATGTTTGGTTGGAAGTGCAATTGACAAGCATTTCTTATTCAAATTTTCTTATTTTAGAATTTCTAAGTATCTCATTTTTAATATCATTGAGTTGAAATGGACATATTGAATTCAAAGGGGAGAATTTATAAGTATCTCATTTTTAATTATGAGATTATTTTCTTCCCTATCTGTCTAACAAGGTCAAGTAATAAAAAAACAACCTAAAAGTGTTTTTTTAAAACGGCATGAGCTAAAAAATTGTGAATATGAAATGGATATTATCCAATTCAGAGGAAGAATTCTAAGTATTATTTCTTACTTCTGAGATTCTTTCTTCCCTATTTGACAATACGGTCAAGCAATAAAAAATAACTACCTATTCTAAAAGTGGTTTTTACAGCGGCAAGAGCTAAAAATATCACAAATATGAATTTGAAGATGTGAAATTGGGTCGTTGAGACCATGTATTAAAACTCGGGGTTTTAGTGCAAGTATTTCTTTTTAATCTTAGGAACACAAACCAGACTATATCATTCTTTTTGCTGTTTTTCTTACTTCTTAGGGATGTTAAGATGTGTGAATGAGCTGAATGTCCATATTTAGCGTACTTTTTATTTTTATTTTTATATGTTTGACAATGGCATGTCTCTAGACCTGGTTTTCTGTCAAGTATGTTTGCACATTAACTGTCCAATTTGTTTGGGGTCCTAAATTTTAGAATAAATGACTTTAAAGTTTCCATCCAAAAATTTGGCATGGGTGTCTATTTGAATATGTAAATGGGAAAGGAGATTCTTGAAAATATGAGTAATACAAAATTATAGCTAGTTCTTTTATAAACCCCAATGGGGTGAAAGAGTTGGTTAGGAACTAAACTCACGAGTTGAAGGTCGTGAGTTCCATTCTACTCCCTCGAGGCTAGCCTTACAAGATTTTCCTATATTAAAATTGGCACGTATCGTTGGGGTTGAGACATCCCTCTAGTCACTAAAAGAAAAGAAACATTGCAAATTAGTACTTCTATTGACCATTGCAAATACCTTTGTCTCGAGCCAAGCTAGAGGTGCACTGGTATGTTTAGGGATTGATACACTGCCACATATGATGCTTTGTCATATCCATGTATTGAGTCAGATACCTCTATTAGGATGCCCCACATTTGGCATAGGTCATGCACCCACAAATATCTAGGAAAATTGCCTTTTTGGACACACCGTCCCAATAGTTCATGGATTTACACAAGTTTGAGAGCTTGTTGGCTCGCCTGTCAGCTTAAGTGAGGTAATGAATGGGCAGCAATATGTTTTGTTAATGAATGCGTGGGTTATGTTTATGGATATATGCCTTTTTTCTATCAGACCTGTTATAAGTAATCAATGTTGATCCTTTAATGATGTTGGCGTTTGCTGTGCAAAGCCTTTATGGGATCATTACTGGATTTGAAGTTTGTTGTTAGAGATGCAATTGAACCGATAATTAGACATGCTATATCTGGAGGATTTTGCATCTTGTTTTAATGTCTTTCTACTAGTTGAGAGACACATGGAAGAAGGATTGCCCACTCTATTGATTTGCTGACTGTTTGTGTTTTGGGTTGGCTTTATTTCACTTGGCCAAAAAACAAAAGCTCAAGTGATCAAATTAAATTTTTAAATAATTCAATTTCATCATTATCATTGCAATTTTTTTACTTGTTGCTAGTTGATTGGTATGCAATTTGAGGAGACACACAGGAAAATGTGAGAATAAAATTGGTAGTATAAAGATATGTTACTAGATTAGATTAGATAAATCCTAAATATAATATTTTTTATTTAAGCAAATAAGAATCCAACCTTAGTCTCATCCTTCTTGTGTTATGCCAACACTTCTCTACTGGGCTATAGTGGTTCTGGCCTTATCAATGTACTCTTGTGGACCTCTCAGTTGTTTTATGTTATAGCAATCCAATGTATACCTGTAAATATAGTTCATTATTATTTCCATTTGATATGAAATATTTATAGATTTTGAGACTTGATTTCATTATGATGGTCTATTAGTTTCTTTATAAAATTGTAAATTTGCTGACCATTATTGAATAATTAATGCAAATAAGTTTGGCGAGATTTTCCATATTTCCAGCAAATTGATTTTCTGTATTTGTAATGTTTCAGGATTGTCGGAATGGCTGGCATAGGCGGGTCACTAATGTTAATCTCCTTCTGTGGTTTGTGTACTTTCTTGACTACAATATCATTGAGCGCTATTGCAACTAATGGCGCAATGAAGGTACAATAGGCACCGGTTTCTAAGATACTACTGGCATTGCCTTCTTTTCCCTACATTTTTAGGGCATTTATTCTGAGTCTTGAAATAGGGTTTGTATTAAAAGTAAAAAGAAAATAGAGTTGATTCCGTATATACACACATAGGGGCTGCAATTCTTGTTTCCATGTCATGTCATGACATGGGTATTTTGCTATGTAGATTTACATGGACGTAACACGATTATTAAATAGGTAATATGACATGATCCACCTAACCTGTTTAATAAATCGATCACCTGACATGACACGACACCAATTGACAAATCAGTCCAAATATTCTTAGGATACTACATTTTAAACATCACACGGGTAGTAAGTGGGCTGGGTCGTATTTGTCTTGACCCAAAACATTTAGTTTAATGGATCTACTTAGATTAAACAAGTTGGCTGGTGAAACACGAACATGACATGTTTAACACGATTACGACCCGAACATGATTAAGCCAAAGCCAAACCCACTAATTCCTTGTCGTGCTATCATGTCATATCAAGTATTGTCACCCCTACATACACACACATATTTGTTGGTGTGTGTACATATATATGTGTGTGTGCGTTTGTGTGCATGCGTGTCTGTTTATGTATATCTAGGTACAGTTGTGTCTTGTATGTTGGTTTTTGCATGTTGCCATGTCCTGCCATATCTGCACTCACATTTTCATATCTGCAAATCATAGTAGATTACTCACATTAGACTTTCAATCTTTAATATTTCCTAATTGGTCTAGAAATAGCTAAATGATTGAAGCACCGAAGAGGAAGCCGTAATTAGAATGTTTTCTTTTTTCTGTTCAAAGACAAGAGTGACCATCATCTTTTACATTACCAGGAAGGTGGATTACACTTCAGATTTTCTTTGTTTCATGTGAAGGGCCCCATTTCGGCTCCCTCCAGGACTTCTGCATTTCTGCATGCCTATTGGAGTTTATTCTGTGTATTTTTCCTTTTTTTTGACATGATTACTGGTTCTGAAATGGTTTTGGAACTTAAAAGGAAATTTGAAGCATAACTATAATTGTATAATTTTTTATTGAGTGATCATTACTGTTCCCCTCCCTTTTCTTGTTTTTGCTGATAAGTATTTTGGTGGATTTCTTGTACTCGGGGCTGGAACAAGCATGTCAACAAAGCCAATAATAAGTTCATTCATATGGTGTCTTTTACCTACATTAAGTTGATTGCCATTCTATTTTACATTCTGAGTTGTTCGTGTTGTATAGTTTAACTATGGGAATAATGCTAATCTGCTTTCTTGATCTACCAACTATACTTCTAGGGTGGGGGACCTTATTATCTTATTGGTCGTGCCCTGGGACCGGAGGTTGGAGTCAGCATTGGACTATGTTTTTTCCTTGGGAATGCAGTTGCTGGATCTCTGTGAGTGTATTTATGATCTTATTTGTGATGATACAGCAATATGGTTGAGGTCCATGAGAAGGATGGACTTGGGAGTTGTGGCTAACCATAATTTTCTTTGATTTTTATTTGTTTGTGTTTTCAGTTATGTCTTGGGAGCTGTGGAGACCTTTTTAAAAGCTGTGCCGGTTGCAGGGATTTTCAGAGGTAATTTTCAGATATCACAGCATTTGACATTCAATTCTTTACTGTAAGTGGAATCGATTATATGTGACACTTTTTTTTCCCTAATAATGGTTATGGGAATTTATTCTTGTGGAAATAACATATGTTGTGGTTTGTTTAATTGTGCACCCATTCCCTCAGTAACACTATTCTGTGCATGAGAACTATAGCAATAACTTCCATCTATCAATCAATGTGAGCTTTAGTAGACCAGGCCCACCACAGAGTAATTTACTTTGGCATAGGTTTTTTTTTTTTTTAAAAAAAAAAAAAAAATTGTTTATGTAATATAGTTTTTTTCTTCAAAGATTTGTGATGCAATAAATTTAATTATGTTACTAACTATTCAAAATGTCCTGGTTATTTTATTATAACATTGTCTGACCATGTTTCTGACTTTAGCTTTTAATGCCTCCCATTTAGTACATGTGGCGCTTCTTACTCTCTCTCTTTATACATATATCTACATATATATGTTTCTCTCTGTTGTGTGCGAGTGAATGTCTTTAAACTTTTAGTTTGCATCTCATGAGGTTGGTATAAGTGAGTTTTCGTTGCTTGTTATTAGCAGTTGGGTATTATAATTTAATTGTAACATTCATCACTGCAGAGACTGTCACAAAGGTCAATGGCACGAAAGTGGCAGAGCCCATTTCAACCCCGAATTTACATGATCTGCAGATTTATGGGATCGTTGTGACCATCATTCTTTGTTTTATTGTGTTTGGTGGTGTGAAAATGATCAATCGAGTAGCACCTGCCTTTCTTATACCTGTTCTATTCTCGGTGTTTTGCATATTTATTGGGATAGCTTTGGCAAGGAAGGATCATCCAGCAAGTGAGTGCACTCTTTGAAACTGTGCCCTTATTTCTTTCCTTTTTCCTTTTGTGCTTAGGCAACAATTTGTCTAAACATAACAATGGTGTGGTATCACAAGTACAATTGCACAGATAATGTAGACCACACTACTCATTCACCATGATTCCAGAAGCATTTAGATAATGCATACTAGTACATGGATCCTAAACCCATGTCATTTTCTTGAACCAGGTTATGCCAAAAAATTTAAAATTTTCTACATTGGTTGTGCCTTTTGATGTACATCTTTTATCTTTGGTAATATAAACTAGAATTATTGTAAAATAAGAAGCTGGTATATCAAAGCTAGCCTCTTTCTTGATGACCTTTCTTTGTGCCTGAGTCTAGTTTTTGGTTTCTCGGTTAATCACAAGATTGTCTTGTGCCCCCACTGCATTACTTGCTTAACTTTCTAAAACTATTTTTAAGGGAGGCAAGTTATTATGGACCTGAAAGAAGTTCCTTTTAATGTCAAAGTCTTGCTTGGCTATTTGCCACAGAAAGTTGAATTTAAATATATATTTAAAATAAAAATAAAAAACACAACCAAAGAAGGCAATTTTTTCCTCATATCATATCACGTTCAAAGAGAAATTATCGACTACTATTTTGTGCTGGAGGGTATATCCTGTTCACTAGATGTTCTGGGATCTTGTCTTTAGTTCTCAAGGACATAGTCATGGTTCTATAAACTTATCCTTTGCAGACAAGGTTGTTGGTCTCCTCTCAAATTTTAGCCTTTTTCAATATTTATGTTCGTGGTTTTTTAATGGGAGGGGGTATAGTTGTTTGCAGATTGCAATAATGTAAAGTTCTAATGGTTTATTGAGGTTTCCTTCCTGTTTAAATTTTTATTTTGGTTGAAAGTGTCCATAGCATGTAGCTTGACTTGACTTACTAAAAAAAAAAAAGCTTGTATCTTGACATATGTTGCCAATTGAACTTTCCCGAGAAAGAAATCTCTATCATGCATCCAGGGTGATAAGTATCAAATAGTTTGAAGGTTTACTGATGTAGGAGCAAATTATGCTAATTTAGATCCCATCTACATCCTATGTGAACCTCTGGAATTCTGTTTAGGCAGAACGTATACTAGTCAATGCACTTTTAGGCAGATGGTAATTGTCAGGTTACATAGCTTTTGTGAAGGGTTGGTCAGACTGATTAGCATTCTGCACTGCCCTGATATGAACCGTTACTTTTGGAGCTTTCTGGACAGTTATGTTAATACTTGTTTTGATTTTATTTTCTTATGTCTTCGTCATCTGATCTCATTTGTCCAGTGAAGGGATAGAATTAATTTTCTTGCAATGCTTGATACAGCTGGAATCACGGGCTTGAGTCTGGAAACCTTCAAAGATAACTGGAGTTCAGATTATCAAATGACTAATAATGCTGGAATACCTGATCCCAAGGGAAAAATTTACTGGGATTTTAAGTAAGTTGTGCCAATAATTCTAGATTCCAAAGACATTTTGTTGGCTATATGAGTTCGGTCAATGTGAATGTGTTAAATACTGGATTTTGATAATTTCTTGGGATTTATTGCTGTTTCTTTTTTTAATCATTGTACCATTTGGTTTGGCGGTACTTGGTGTTTGTCAAAATATTGTGCCTCTAGTTTCTTTATCGTCTCTTTCTCTCTCTAAATTCAGTCAGTTATATTTAACTTATCTTAGTAGAATTATCTGCATAATCAAATACTTGTCCTTATTGGTTGCACTAGCTTTGGGGATGAATATTTTGTAACTATTGGGGGATAAATGCTGCTGCTCAATGCAGTTTTCTTTTCCATTACATGCCACAGAATAGATTTAACTATCCGAATTGTTTTGCCTCCATAACATGCTTCTAGCCTTCTAGGGCAATGACCTTGCTCAAGCTGTCAGTGGGAAATGTTATAGAAGCTCCTACTGTTGTGGTATTCGGGAATTTGGACATCACTGGTCTGATTGTATCTCCAGATCAATTCTGCTAGCAGGAGGGTTTAGGTAACATAATGAATCTAGTGATGTTTGAGACATATATTTGGCATTAAGAACTTGCCAAAATAATAGATACTTGCATACATATATATGTGTGTGTGATGTTCTTGCCTGAATTTGGTGCTGGAAATTTTTGACCTGGTTTTTTGCTCGTGGGTCGTGGACCCTAATTAGTCTCTTGTAGCCCGATATATAAAGGCACTTAGGGTTTGGAGTGGTGGTAGAGAAAGACTCTGAAATTCGTACAGAAATAGAATGAGGGGCTGAAAACTTGTAATCTTTGATTTTACACATAGTGAAGACTTTCGCCGGATCCCAACCGTGGACGTAGGCTATTGCCAAACCATGTATAAATCTTTGTGTTCTTTGTGTGGTGTGTTTACTTTTCTGTCGTGATTCTTGGTTTTATCTTGGGTTCATTGCGTTTGTCATAACAATATGGCATCCAGTTTCTAGGACTATAGTAACGAACTTGGAATCTTTAAGTGCATAGCACATAATTGAGTATCCTTTTCGTAGTTTCTGAATTAAGAAAAATTGTAGACTATCTATAACAGCTACTTGCTTCTTTTCCAACCATTGAAGCAGTTAATATTGATTCAGTTCTGGCACAAATGTTGTATCCTGCATGGCTAAAACTTTTGATGTTTGTCAGTCTTTGAAATATGTCAGATTTGATCTTTTGCAAAGAGTTTGGAACAAAATTAACTTGTTTCATGGCTTTTCTAACTACTACCATTTTTACTATTGTCAGTGCATTGGTCGGTCTCTTTTTCCCTGCGGTAACTGGAATTATGGCTGGTTCAAATCGATCTGCATCACTAAAAGACACTCAGCGTTCTATTCCTGTTGGAACACTGGCTGCTACTCTCGCGACTTCTTTACTGTATCTAATTTCTGCAGTACTATTTGGAGCTCTTGCAACCAGACAGAAACTTTTGACAGACAGGTATACTTATTGTACAATTTTTCAAAATGTTACTTACATAATGTCATAAACACAGGTATAACTAGTTATTTCACTTTTCTCTAATTGTGGCGTGAATTTCTGTAGGTATATTTGTGTCAAATTACTTAAATATTCTATATTTGGATTTGTGTCCTTGATTATGTGCCATCACAGTAATCCTAGAAATGAAGCATATGTTACAGCTATTACATGTCTATTCTTTTCTAAGGAAATTCAATATTATACACATAGTCAAAACAAGTCAAGTTGTGCAATGGGCACTTCGGAGATAAACTCGTATACAATGCGATTATAAAGAAAGTCATTTAGTAGATAAAAGTCGTTCAAGTGATCTGACCTAACTAAGCCAAATAAAAAGTTTGGCTCATATAAGAAGGTTCTCTCTGCTTCATAGCTTACTTGATGGCTTGTACAAGTACACTTGACAATCCGAACTTTTACCTTTAAAATTTTAAATAAGCCAATGGTTGCAATAAATATACATATTTGCTGTGGTGAGAACTTTCTTCCCAAACTATTTTACTGGTATCTACTATCAGAGCTTCTATTTGATCGCCACTTGAAAAACTTAGCGGAGTTGTTACACAAAAGATCATTATCTAGTGTGGTCTCCATTAATCGAGTTTGTTGGGTTAGTCTTGATGTCTATAGGTACTTGTATAGATCATGGTTCGTTGACTCGGCCTTTGTCGAGTCCAATTAGGGTTGATATAGTAGTGATACTCAAGAATCAGGTGGAATGCATGGCGACTCGGTGGGGAATTAGAGAGAATCAGCTGAATCAGGCCCGACTTAGAGAGAGATGGTAGAAGACTGAGGAGAGGGTTGTATATATATATATAGAGAGAGAGAGAGAGAGAGAAAGCGAGAGATGTATGGTGATAATGGAGTAGATGTTGGGGCCAGTTGATTAGATAGAGGGGGGGGGAGTAGAGGGTTGTGAAACCTTGGGTAAAGATTGGGACGCTGACACGTTTTGTATATGGTGGTTTATCAATAATGAACTTTTGCTGTATGTATTATCTATAAGCCAACAATGGTTATCACACTTTTGACTTGATCAGTATTAATAATATTTTTCTCTATAAACTTATCAGTTTACAATTTTATTATTATTTTCAATAGTTTATCAGTTGGAATTGGATAATAATAATTAGTAGTTAATCTATTCTCACCGCAACTCAAAACCTTCCTTGGTAACAATAATGGTCTATGATGATAATAAGTAGTGAATCCCTTGGTAACTTCCAAGTAAGGCTTTTTTTTTTTCTTTTTTTTTTTTCTCCCCTTGTTAATTGATTAACCCACTGTGTTTGAAATCTTTTAATGTATAATATAATATGTTAATCTTTTTTATGTCATGAAGTGTTATTTATTTCATTTAAAGATTGTAATTGCTCATTTATTTAGTAAAAAGTCTAAATTATTGCCTTTACTGTCAGCATCGACTTAAAATTCATGTACAAGTCATTAATTGTATTAAATGATCTTTAGAAAATTTTAAAAATCATTAGAATTCATTAAAACCATATTTGTTGGTTTCTGTAAAAAAAACTTATGTATCGGTGTGCTTTTGGACCTTATGTGCTGCATTAAAAAAAATTCACAACCACGGTTCCCAATTCCATTGCATTAGGCTTGCTATAGGCCCACGTCTCCGTCTGCGAACCATGGTATAGATCTTAGCTTTATGGGAATAGGTTCGTATTCATGAAATTTATAAACTCTCGTCTTCTTGAATTTGAATTTCTTAAAACCTTTTGGCCTTCATTGTGCATTGTATTAGGTAACTATTGTGCTTAATTACTAATACAACCTTTTTAATCTGATTGATTTATGATGTAGATGGTATTTTATTTGCTTTATGAATAAAACTATTAGGATACTAAAAATTAGTGTTAGAAAATATCATACAAATTTGTAATTTTTATTTTTATTTTCAAAAGTTGGAATAATTAATTACAGTTAGAATTTACCTAGGATCCATAGACTCTAAAAACAGTATTTGAAGATAAAAGAGTAAAAGGGTAAATTCACCTCTTGAACTACTACCCCACCAATTAGGGTTTTATTTATTTATTTATATCATTAATCATATCAGAACTCATTTCATTCATGTTTTGATTCATAAAAAAGATAATTTGGATACATGAAAGTTTGTTTGATCAGAAAAACCCGAGTGATCAAAGTTATACTCCTTGATCGTTTGAAATGGATTGATTGAACATGATTGGGAATTTTTTTTTTTTTTTTTGTTCAAAAACAGAGAGGTTCAAGTGATACTTTTATTGCTTTAAGCAATCAAAACAATTCTAGTAAGCTTTGGTCTATAGGTCGATCGATCAAACATGTCATGCACATTGCTCGAAGAGTACTGGAATAAGTTCAACTGCTTGAACTTGATCTTGATTGATCAAAACGTGTGTATTCCTGGAAACTTGCAAAATCTTAAAAGGTTTTATTCTCCTATTTCACTAGGACTCTTATATTGGCTATAAATATAGGGTATTGTCTATCTATGATATAATCTTTTACAATATAAAGAGAATATACATGCATCTGGAGAGAGATGTACAGAGAATATAGAGGCACATAGAGTGCTTATTTTTCTTTTCATCATCTGACATCTTGCATCTGATGACGAGTTATTATTCAGTGTGTTGATCATCAACTTTTGGAACCTAAAACGTCATCAATACCAAATCGCACAAAAAAACAACCGGATGTTGCTATTCATGGAGATTTGAAGACGCATTAAAGAGTGGATTGTGTGAGGAGCGGGTTTGAAGATTGAGAACAACAGAGTTACAAGAGTGTCTAGTTCGAGTTTAGGTCGGATTCTACGGTTCAAAATCTGGTAACCTGGGGTTGTATTTGGGTTCAGAATCTGGTAACCTGGGGTTGTATTACCTTTCTTTTGGTAACCTAGGATTGCTGTGTTTTCACTATAATTGTTAGAATTTAAAAATCAATTATTGTTAGTTAAAAATTGAAAAATAGGATTCATGCTGCTGACCCCAAGTAGTTGGAAAGAAGGCTTGATTGTTGTTGTTGTAAGTTAAAAATTGAACAATATCTGCTTCTCTAGATCTACATTGGGCATAGCATATTCTGGTGAATTAGAGTCATGGGCAACGGTCCTAATCTCAATTAAAAAGCATATCAATTATGTTTTATTTGTAAACATTATTATATGTTTGATTGATGTATGAAAATTCATGTTGGTTTGATTTGGAAAATATTGGAACATGTTTTGATTTTATGCCATGTTTAGTCCTGTTTTAAGGTTAATTAGAAACTGATGGCTGTGTGAAGTTGAATTAATTTACTTTTACTGGTTTAGGGCATAACTTAAATAATTGTGCAGGCTTCTTACAGCCACGATTGCTTGGCCTTTTCCAGCAATCATTTACGTTGGAATCATCCTTTCAACCTTAGGAGCAGCTCTCCAGAGCCTGACAGGTGCCCCACGACTGCTTGCAGCAATAGCCAATGATGACATCCTACCTGTTCTTAACTACTTCAAGGTTGCAGATGGGTGTGAGCCTAACATTGCTACCCTCTTTACTGCCTTCATCTGTATTGGTTGTGTCATAATTGGGAATCTGGATCTTATAACACCAACCATAACTATGTTTTTCCTTCTGTGTTACTCGGGTGTGAACTTGTCTTGCTTCCTTCTGGATCTTTTAGATGCTCCCAGTTGGCGTCCTCGGTGGAAATTTCACCACTGGAGCCTCTCCCTTCTCGGGGCCTCACTTTGTATCGGTATGCCTCCTTGTCATCTATTTCACTTGTATTTTTGTTTATGCACTTTTTTAATGATTGAATATAGTTAAAAACACTAATTAATATATTATCCAGAGAGAATCTATGCATTCTGCCTCAGTAGACTATTAGATTTAGAAGTGTGGGAATTTACTTGGAAAACTTGGTCTATAAAATAAGTAGGATCAGTGGAGTTCTTTTTCTTTTGTTTTCTTTTTCTTTCTTCTGAGTAGGTACTATTATTAGGATTAGGTTTGTCTGTCGACGTAAGCATACATGCATAAAGGGTAACCCATGTGGGCAGGAAAGATCATGTTTTATCCTGCCATAAAAATTAAGATTTGTTGTCGAGTGATGGATAATAGACGATGGATGAGATGGACTAATGCATCTAGAATTATATGCTTAATCATGCCACTGTGTATGTGTGTTTGGATAGCTGTGGCTGAATGCCTTTTTTAATCACATTTGCCTGCTGCCGTTGTTCTCTTGCAGTGATCATGTTCTTGATTTCCTGGTCGTTCACTGTGGTGTCTCTTGCCCTGGCAAGCCTCATATATTATTACGTGAGCATTAAGGGTAAAGCTGGGGATTGGGGTGATGGTTTCAAGAGTGCATATTTTCAACTAGCTCTCCGCAGTCTTCGATCTTTAGGAGGTTGGTATGCTTGTTTGAAAAATAGCACTTTATACTTACTCGTGACAAATACTACAATGTGTCGTAACTTTCCATGGTACTTGTTTGAAGCTATTCAAAACTTTCAAATTTTAAATCTGTAGCTAATATAGATAACACAAATTTGTTTTTTTAATTAACGAAAGGTGAAAAAGAAGTCCATGACCTAGTGTTGGTCTCACTCGTGTGAGTTCTGGGAGGGGTAGACTGAACATTGACCTAATTTTTGGCATTATTTTTTTTATCAAATTGGTACCCCTACTTAAAGGCACAAATCTCACACTTTACAGTTGCCAGCTTTTACCATTAAGGAGAAAGCCGCAAAGGAGAAATATTAATATCAAAATTAAAATACCAAATAAATGGTTTTATTTTGAAATGGTGTTTTTTGACAAGTCACAAATTTGGTAATCAAAACAATTGCAGGTTTGTATTACAATATGCTGGTTATTAAAGAATTAAAAATTTATGTTTGTCACAACGGAATGGCAAAACTACACAGGATGTCTAGAAAGGATTTGTATTTCTGGTAATATTTTGCAAAAGTAGGCATCGGCATCTTTCTAAAATTGTATTAACATTGGTCATTGCCTCATTGGAGTGGAAAATTAAGATGTATCTGTACTTCCCCAAATGAAATAGCTTAGAAAATGAGGAGGTAAAATTTGAGTCATATGGATATCTGTGAACTATTCAACTCCCATGTTTATATCCAAGGTACTTCTCCTATCCTGTCTTGGTCCTCTGTTACTATTCCCTTCTTAGGAAGATATGGTTGCTGGAAAATCTTAAACAGTAATAGTGTAATACTATGAAACGAAAAGAAAAGAAAAAAGAAGAAGAAGAAGAAGAAGCTTTTATCTTCTTGGAATTTTCATGCATATTTGTCCATTTGGTAATTAAAATTGTTTATTTTTATGGTAACCTTCACTTCTTGTGGTTAGAATACTTGCACCATGAAATATCATTATAGTGTTTCTATTGCATGCTTAATTGCATTTTTGCTTTGCAGCTTGTCTAATCAATGCCTTGAGAAACTATGGCTTTCTTTTTCTTTTCTTTTTTTTCCCCTCCTATACATGCATGTGAGCATGCTTGTTTGTCCCTGCAAACTTGAATTGTGTGTCTATGCATGTTATTTTTTATTAACCTCTCGTTAGTTATGCAGCAAACCAAGTTCACCCAAAGAATTGGTACCCTATCCCCCTCGTATTTTGCCGACCATGGGGCAAACTGCCAGAGAATGTACCTTGCCATCCCAAACTCGCTGACTTTGCCAACTGCATGAAGAAAAAAGGCCGAGGAATGTCTATCTTTGTCTCTATTCTAGATGGAGAATATCACGAGTGCGCTGAAGATGCCAAGGCTGCCTGTAAGCAGCTAAGTGCCTACATTGACTACAAGCGCTGTGAAGGTGTAGCAGAGATAGTTGTCGCCCCCAGCATGTCAGCTGGTTTCCAAGGCATTGTCCAAACTATGGGCCTTGGTAATCTCAAGCCCAACATTGTGGTGATGAGGTACCCTGAAATCTGGCGTCGCGAAAACCTGACTGAAATCCCAATTACATTTGTTGGAATAATTAATGACTGCATTGTTGCGAATAAGGCTGTTGTTATTGTCAAGGGCCTTGACGAATGGCCTAATGAGTATCAGAGGCAGTTTGGTACAATCGATTTGTACTGGATTGTGAGAGATGGCGGTCTCATGCTTCTCCTCTCTCAGCTCCTCCTAACCAAAGAGAGCTTCGAGAGCTGTAAGATTCAGGTCTTCTGCATTGCAGAGGAGGATTCTAATGCAGAGGAGCTTAAGGCTGACGTGAAGAAGTTCCTATACGATCTTCGGATGCAAGCAGAAGTGATTGTTGTAACAATGAAATCATGGGACGTCCAAGTGGAGGATGGACCCCAGAAAGATGAATCAGCAGCGGCATTCACTGGTGCTCAGCGGCGAATTGGTAGTTACTTGGCAGAAATGAAAGAGAATGCTCAGACGGAAGGGACGCCATTGATGGCCGATGGGAAACCTGTGGCTGTCAATGAGCAGCAGGTGGAGAAGTTCCTTTACACGACGCTGAAGCTGAATTCAATGATACTCAGCCACTCTAGAATGGCTGCAGTAGTGCTTGTGAGTTTACCACCACCACCTCTCAACCACCCAGCATACTTCTACATGGAATACATGGATCTACTGGTTGAAAATGTGCCTAGGCTTTTAATGGTACGGGGATATCGCAGAGATGTTGTCACTTTGTTCACGTAGTAGCTGCTCGTAGATTGGATCCTCAGATGGTAATTGATGAAATTCTCATTTTTCATGTTCATATGTTTCTTTACCCCACTCTTTGTTCAAAAATGCCTGTAGATTATATATTTGATTCATTCTTTTACCACCATTGTTACAGAAATTTTTTTGTTCATTACATGCTAGATTTAATATATATATATTTTTTATAGTTGTCATTAAAAACTTGAAAGATATGAAGATGAGCGCTGTTCAGTTTATGTCTTCTCATGAGGCGGCCATTTTGGACTCATCTCTCTCTCTCTCTCTCTCTCACACACACACACACAATTACAGAGGAACATGCATCTGCACAAATTATAGGTTTTTAATTTGTTGAGTGGTAAATATATATATGTGATAGTTACAGTTCATGGGGATAAGCTGAATTATCTCATCTTTGTTTTAAATTTTGAAATTGGAATTGAGACTATATCAGTTCAATTTTTAAACTAGTTTTCTTCAATTCTAATCTAAACTAATTTCAACCCCAATACACATGAGACAGGCTGTTTTTATGAAGAAAATAAGAAGAGTTGACTCGCTATACTTGTTTTTGGGTCTTGTGGGCTGTGGGGAGCTAAAACTGGAGATTAGGTGAGCCAAAAAGTCAAAAGGCCCGGGACTAATGTTAGGGATTATTAGGGGAAATATGAATCAATTCAAAATTATGACATTCATCAGATTTAAGAAAAACTTAATTACTAATTGCTGGTCGAATTCAACTTAGGATAACGAGTATTTAACTTAAAGAATTCAAACCCCTCCCTTCCCAAAGAGGATAATTTTGTTAAAAATACACAATATATTGTCTTTTTTCTTTTTTGCATGTAAAAATTCACACGCACTCAACACACTCCCTCACTATGGTGTTTTAGCTCTTACCACCATACCTCAAAAGGAAGGTTATACCATTGGCCCGATCCGGTAAAAATATATTAGGCATTATATCATTTAGCTGTAGATGAATTTACTCTTACCCCTTAAAATTGAAAGAGACATAAGTTTGATCAACGACCAAATTGAAGAGAATGGCCAAAACCGTCACGTTCTGTTTTTAAAACATAATAAAAATATTACATCATTGATATGTCTATTCAATGGTATGTCCATTAAGTGAGAACGCACCATTTCAATTTCATGTTAGTATTTTTACACATGATATTTCAATTGGAAGCATACATGTAAAACATATCGAGAAGAAAACTGATACTACGTAATATTATTAGGTGGATGTCGTATGTTTGATACACATCGAGAGTATGGTCTTGTTAAAACAAAGGTGGATTGGCTGATGTCATTTATGGAGTGCTACTAGCTGTGCCCACCCCACTTGATTTTAACCAGTTTATCTGTTTTGATCCAGACTCATCCTATGGACCACCGACCCTCGAAGTCAGATATTAGAGGCTTTTCGTTTCCTTTTAAAACATCTATACTGACCTTTTTTTAAAATATACTGGTATAACATGTCATGCCTCTTTTTCTATAGTGAGGTTCTTTGAATCAAAGTCTTAATGGAATATTATCTTTTTCTATAGTGAGTTTTATTGTTTTTTTTTTGAGATGGACTTATAGCTAACTTTTGTATATTTTACAAAATTACACTTTTTAGTCTTGCACGTGTGTCTGGATCATAAATGCGTGTCTTAACTTTCCTTGTTAAATTAAGATCAAGAGCGGAACCACAATAGGATGGGTGGGGACAAGAATTTTTTAATTTTGTATTTTATATTTCAAATGTTTTAAAATTTATGAATATGTCCCCTTTAAAATTACAATTCGGCCCACTAAAATTATTTTTTTTTTTGTATTTTATACTTCAATTTTTTGAGAATTTATGAAGATAACTCTACTGAAATTATAAAAATAGACACGCTATATAAAGTTGCCTCCATAAATTAAAAGTCCACCCTCCCTCACAAAATTTTATGAGCCCGTCACCGACTACATAAAAAGAAAGGATAATAGAAGAGATGTGTCATTCTACATTCTTTACAAACTTTTATTCATTCAAAAACGAGCTGAGGGAAGAAAAGTGACTATCATAGAAGTTTTGAGTTAAATACTATTTTAAATTACACAAGTTTTAAAATACAGTATTATATTTTATAAATTATAATATTATATATATTACAGGATATAATGGTAAAAATATTTTAAAAGTTTATCTTTCCTTCTCTTCTAACAAACATAATTTATTCACTTCTCTTCCATCCAACTTAACAAAAAAAAAATAAATACACAATCTCTTTTCTAGGGATACTTCATCCATCCCTTCTTCTATCCCTTTCATTATATTTTTTCCTTTCCACCAAACAAAGCATTAATGACTAAAATGAGAGACAACTTTGTTTTTTCTTTTCTTTTTTTTCTTTTTTTCTTGTTCAACTTTATGGTATTTAACATGAAGATACAAAACTCTATTATCTCTTGGTAAATTAGGGCATAAAGTTTAGGAAGAAGAACAATTAAGAACTAATTATCTTATATCCTATTAGTTAGAATATTGCTTTTGTTAGAGCAACATGATTCTGTTTAGTTGTTTTTCTTAATTTATTTTACTCTCATATTAATATATAATATACATATAAAATCAAAATGAAGGCATCAATAATTGATCTTATCTAATCACAAGGCTTACTGCAACTAGTAGCATTATATATATTAGGGTTTGTGTAATTGTCAGGCATTAGCCAAACATGGTGGGAGGCTTTTGTTTGCCAACGTGCAGCAGATTGATTTTCATAAATATGAATCCTCACGTCAACAACACGGTGTTGTACCGTAATGAACGACTATAATTACTTAGAGCAACTCTAACGCGACTTTTAAAGCGATTTTGGGCTGATTTTAACAACCCAATTCCTCTATTGTGGGTCGCTAAAATTGGGCCACTCGGGGAATAAGTCGCCGAAAACGACAACCCTGTTAGCAATCACGGGCTGCACCTCTGTTTTCTTTCTTTTTTAAAAAAAATTCTGGTTCAGAACAGTGTTTTGCCCATAACACTGTTTCTAAGGCCATGTTTGGCTGGAAAAAAAAGCTAAAAAACAGATTTTTGAGTTATTTTGGTCTCTCTTTTTTTCTTTTTCTTTTTTCTAAGAATTTATTAAAAAATTTATATGCACATACTAAATGGTAAGGGTGTTTCTTGGACATTTTTATTTTTATTTTGGAGTTTAAACATTTTTTTTTTACTAAAAATTTATTTTATCATATGCTAGTATTCCCAAACTAAATTTTTGGCTCCTCTGTGTACATTGTATCATAGTTTGATCTCATTGTAAAAATTTCTTCAAATAATTTCTCTACAAGTGATTTGATATACGGATAAAACATTCTGTATATCTATATACCCATTAAGCTTACTGCACATAACGGATCACTAGGCAATCTTACAACCTTAATCTTCCTCTCTCTATCTCAATCTAAAATTAATCATTTGGAATAAGTTGCAATTCTATTAAGAGAGCTCTCTCTTTTTCTTCATATATAATTACACACATATATATTAGATGGGGCTGAAAAGTTTCTTCAATCCAAATATTGATTAATACTAAGAATTTTTATTTTTATTTTTGGAGTAATGTTAATAATGATAAATAAAATTATATTATGTTAATGTTTAAACTGCAAAAAAAGTTAAAAAATAAAAATTTAAAAAATATTAATATTTTTGGAGAGCGAAAATGTACATGCGATAGCTAAAATTTGAAGACTTTAAAATGCTGACGTGGCTATGAAAAATGTTAAAGTGACTATTGAAAAATGCTGATGTAACAAATTCGGAGAATGTATTAAAAATGCTCTTACACGTGTAAATAGTCACATATCCATGTTGTGTACCAAAAGTTTCAAAAATAGGCAACATTGTCGATTGAGCACCAAGCCAAGAAGGCACAACCAAACCAAGAACTAATTTTTCTTGCTAACTCATAATCATGAAACTTTTTCAGGATTAGGCATTGATTGATAAACTTTAGAAAATGATGCTTTTAACAATAATTTATGTCTCTCTATTACCTACATTCTTTATAAATTTATGTTCCCTTCACTATAATATTATACAATTCCATCCCATTCGCAATAGCATCATAAAATTTTCAAGTCATTAAATATTCTAGCTCAATTTTTCAAGTTATTTTATGTTTTTTTACCACTCACAATAACATTATATAATTCTAGAATCAAACTTTATTCTACCATTCTTGATGTTGATGTTCATGCTTCGTGATTATCATAGTGTGCCACAATTTTTTCGTCGAGCTATGAAAAATTTATCTTATTATGTTAATTGTATACTAAAAAAGATTTATGTACGGTTTGGTTGGAGGAATAAAAAAATTGATGGGAGGGAGAATGTAAGTGATGAATGAGGTATCTCTATGAAAAGGAAGATTATTTCTTTCACTTTTGTTTGGTTAGATGGAATCGATAGTTAAAATGGTGGATGGGGTGGCTTTTTTTTTTTTTTTTTCTTGTTTCTTTGATTGGAATGAAGAGAAATATAATTTTTATATTCTTTTTACTAATATACTCTTATTATATAAAATTATAAAAATTAGATATTCATTTCAAATTTTTGAAAAGGTTAAAAATGAAAATTATATATTTGTGGTAATTATTCATTATTCCTCCCTCCTTACTTCCTCCCTCTTTTCTCTTTCTTCCAACCAAACACGGAAAATTCATTTTTCCCCCTCATCCAGCCCTCTTCAATCCTTCCCTCCAACCAATTATAACATTAAATTTTGATTTTAAGGTTTGAGCTAGGTTCTTTAAGAATTAATTGTTTTTCTTTGGGGGAAAAAAAAATAAAACAAAATCAACCTTTAATTAGAAAATCACCCATGCATGGTCATCCGGTGATCCGAAATGATTTTGTATAAGGCTGACAAAGAATTTATTTCCACTAAATCGTCACATCTTAATCTTAGAGGTTAGATCCTACACTACAAGTATACATTTATTGTTCGTTAGACAATGAACTTTTGAATATTCTAAAAGAATTTGAGATCTACTTTTTTGCTCTTCTTTTTCCCTTGTCTTCATATGTTCGTTTTTTTCTTGGTGTGTGGAGCCTTCAATCTTGACAATATTTCCTAGTTTTTGAAGTGAAGTTTGGATGTGCACTAGCTTTAGAGTCTTATTGGAAAAAAGGAAGGAACGAAAAAATTGTACATAGAAATAGTTCGCCCAATATATTTATTTAGCAGTG